AAAAAAAAAAAAAAAAAAAAAAAAAAAAAAGGAAACCAAGTGGCCAACGGGTTCAATCTCTTGCTTGGAGTCACACAGCTAGTAAAGTGGTGGAAACAGAATTTTATCTCTGGTCTCTTTTAATTAAAACAGCAGGCAATCGAATCATGCTGTAGAGAGGCCTGGTGTTCAACCACTCTGGTAAAATAAACACGCAATAATTTTGCTGTTGGGAGTAGGAGACACCGTTGAGGAAATCTCTGAGCTTGATCTTCGAGCTTCCTATTAGTAATCCTTATCGAATGAGTGTGATTAACTCTCCATGGAGGAAACCAAAACACTGTAAGAGGGATGTGACAGAACAGTTTGGGAGTTTTTAAATCTCCAGTCTAAGTCTCCTGTCTGTCATCTCAGGGAGGGAATACGTGAGTAAGACCGTAAATTAGGAGACAACAAACTGCATCCATTTAGAATATGACTGTGAAAACAAAGGTATTGCTTGCTTGGAGATGGAAAAGGGAGGCCAAAGAGCCAAGGAGCACAGTTTCCATCGAAGCCAGGGTTTCTGTCCCTCGGCACTATTGATGCTGTGGGCAGGATACTTCTTTGTGTGAGAGGCTGTCCTGTGCATTGAGGATGTTTGGCTGCATCTCTGGCCAGTAGCACTCCTATTTTCCCCCAAGTCATGACAACCAGAAATGTCATTGTCAACTGTTTCCTGGGGCAGGTGGAGAGGGCGCAGGATGCCCCTCACCTCCAGTTGAGAACCACGGATCTAAGCACTCTTCTTAAGAAAGGGCATGTATCTCCGATATCGACTATTTTATTTTCTGCTATGATACCAATTAGCACACATATGATTGGCAAATAGAAGAATGATGTCAGTATACTAATGTGAAAGTTGTGTTAATTCATGATTTTTCCTACTGAAAGGAGCCAGAATGGTGGGACTAGGATTAAAACCTTTAGCAGGAAAGGAAAGCCTTCAGCGTGGCTGCCGTACAGGCAGGGCCCTTTCCAGCCTGCTCCAGGGCTGTTCCCCAAGAGAAGGGTAGCAGGTTGCACTTCCCCGTGTCCAGCCTAATGCAGCCCAGCTGGCTCCGAGTGCCACCCTTATTTGCATGATCTCAGCACCTGCAAACCTGCATTCACACTGTTGCTTTTGTGCATTTTTTACTGTCCCCTGAGGCAGCCTCCAGTCACGATAAGCCACCCGTCTGGAATAGCCAAGTTATCTCAAGTACCAATTATTGTTTCTGCTACTGTTAAAAAGTTGCATAGGCTTTTGAGTTGTTTGCCTCAACTCTATTTTTTCCCCAATAAACAATGTTACTTTTAGCGCATGATTTTTCAGAAAGTGAGGTGTTCCAGGAATGTATTCATTATGCTTTAGCAGAAACATCTGTACTTGGGTCCTGTGACAGGTGACTCTGTTGAAAAGTTTCCAAATAGCTCCCCTAATTCTATACTAATTCCCCAAGCAACCTTCTGATCAGTAGTTGGCTTCCCAAGTATTCGCTACAAAGAAAAAGTGCATTCGTTGCCAATCCAAGTATTCTTTGCTGTGTGACTTTGCATTTCTCACTGTTCATTGAAAAATGGGTCTTTGGGTTTACATATCAGTCTATTTGAGCTGGTTGATGAGCTCTGCCCCTGATAAATGGAGCTAGTCTTAGTGTGCTGATAGAATTGGGTTTCTGTGCTTGCAGGGCTGGGATGCCAAGGCTGAGGAAGTCACTGAAGGAGATGACACCTTGGTGAGCCTCTTGGCAGGTGGCTGATCTTGCTCTGGTGACACATTTCTGTACTGAGAGCTGTTCTCACTACAGCATACCACACGGTGAAACCTTAGTACTTCCAGAGAGAAGCAGCAGGTGCAATGGCAAGAGCTTGGCTGCTAAAGCCATGATGACTAGAGTAGATGCCTGGCTCCCCTGCTTCATAGCCATTTGATCTTGATGATTCACTCCCTCTCTCTGGGCCTCAGTTTTGTCATCTGCAAAATGGAGGTAATAGTATCCACCTCAAAAGCTGATGTGAAGTTTCCCTACTCCTTACAACAGAATAAGGAAATTACTTAAAACAGTGCCTGGCACATAGGAAGCACTATAAGTTTCCTAGATGAATACAAGAGTGCTACTTTATATTTGGATAGTTCATTCCTGTAAGCTATTATATGCATTCTTACAACAACCACATGAAGTTGGGGAGACACTGTATACTCCATTTAACCTATGAGGAAACCAGGGTGAAGTGACTTGCCTGTGATCACATAGTTGATAAATGACAGAACCTTTTTTAAACTACCAGGAAGAACATGGACCATTGTATCACTCAGATTTCCTCATTCAGAGAACCACACAACAGATTATTTAGGACTTAGTATCTAGGAAAATGTTTCTCCTGAAGAATTCAGATAATTTGACAATAAGGATTTTATAATTTATCTTGTTACCTTGGTTACTTGGAGTTATACTTCAAAATGTTGTGGTGCCATATCAACATTTTTAGATGATCTTTTCTTCTAATTTATTTTAATATTTTGAATGTCCTATTACATGTATACCTTTTGTATATTGACTTTAAACTGGTTTTGGTGAGGCAATCTTTAATTTTTCTTTATTATGAAAATTTTCAAGCCCACAAAATAGGATACATATACATTTTTAAGGTGTGCAAGGAGCCATGAGCACTACAAAGATATAAAAGACACTGGTTTTATCACTAAAGAATATCTAGTTTATTAAACAAATAAGGTTTCTCCAGAAATAACTACAGATTGAGGCAGCCTCTGTTCCTTGCCTTAAGCATGATCCTCCTAATGAATCAATAGAAGACTAAGCAGGGAGAGCATTTCAGCCCTGCAGCCTGTAAGAGAAGGCTCCGTGGAGCAGGTAGCATGGGACAGAATTTCAATAGGTTTAGAAAAATGGTGAAGTGTTTATGTTTATTTATAGTACCTTTTCTCTCGCCTGAGCCCATCTGTATTAGCCATCTGTATTTGGTTATATTTGTAGTACCCGACAATTTGTCATTGGCTGCAATTTCTATGCACATCCTTTCATCTTTAGTCTTCAATCTAGCTATTACTTCAGAGTAGGCGTGACATGGCCACTCCTGCCTTTCCAACAGGCTTGTTAACCTTAAGAAATGTTATTTGCAGCTTTTGACCCAGCTTGCAGTATATCTCATTTGATGTTTATTATAACGACTTAGCATTCTTCACATAAGACACTATATTAGATAAGCAAGCCATACACATCATCCACCTGCAGGCTGCAGAGACAAGGAGTGGAGCCTGGACTGAGGATCTAGAAACACAAATGTACAAGTTTACCCAGGGCATAGTGGGGTTAACTCAAGCAGGCTAAACCCAAAGAGACTAGTGTATAAGCCAGAATGCCAATCTATTCACTTATAACATCAGTTATACATTTTTGCATAACCAAACTTTAAGTATATGCTCTCACACACACACACTACACTTCCAGGTGAGCAAGGCATCAGAGACACAAAGTCCCTGAGGGACATTTCCTCTCCTGACAATTGAGAACATCTAGCCCTGCTCCTTCATTTGGCAAACAAGGAGGCTGAGGCCCAAAGAGATTAAGTGACTTGTTCAAAGGTTGTGCAACAAGGCAGTGGGAGACCTGGACTGCTATTTCCACGCATTTATCTGAATTCTGTAATCCTGTTGCTGACACTAATTCTGATCACTCCACAGAGAGAAAAAATACAAGCGGCAGAGAACAGGAAAAGGAAATCAAAGAGGCAGAAAGAAACAGCAAAATACAGAACTGAAGATGGAGCCTCAGTCACAATTAGAAAAGGAAATGATGGAGAAAGCACTGATGCCTACAGAGAAAGAAAATGAATTACCTAAGAGTGTAACTGAAGCTCTCCCTTTGGCAGCCTCCCCCCAAAGAGTTGTACCTGAGAAAAAATTTTCTGCAATAGGTGAAGAAAGCATTATACATCAGGGAAATTCTTCTGAGTGCCAAGAAACAACAGTACAAAACCACCCTTCTGAAATAGGCCAAGGTATGGCTGAACCCGAAGACCTCTCTCCTAAAATGTGCCAAGAAACATCTATAGTCAAAGCCCTTCCTTCTAAAACATATGAAGACATAACTGGCATGAAAGGATGCTCTCTTGAAGCATATCCCAAACCAGATGTGCCTAAAGACTATGCTTTTGAAACACACCAAAAAAGAGCTGAACCCAAGGAAGACAGTACTGAACCAGGTCAAGGAATAGTTGGGACTGAAAGCTTTCTTCCTAAAATACAACAAGAAGTAGCTGTGCCTAACGACCTTTCTACAAAAACATACCAAGACACAGTTGAACCTGAACACTTTTCTCATAAAGCATATGAAGAAATTGATGTGCCTAAAACCCTCTCTCATAAAACATTCCAAGAAACACCTGCTCATGAAGAACGTCCATCTGAGATATACATTTATCGAGAAACACCTGGGCCTGAAGACTGTGCACCTGAAATATATGAAGACACACCTGGGCCTGAAGACTGTGCACCTGAAAGATACCAAGAGACACCNTATACGAAGACACACCTGGGCCTGAAGACTGTGCACCTGAAAGATACCAAGAGACACCTGGGCCTGAAGATCTCTCTACTAAGACATATAAAAATAAGAATGTGCCCAAAGAATGCTTTCCAGAACCAAACCAAGAAGCAGATGGGCCCCAAGGCCAGGATCCTAAAGCACACCAGGAAGATGCTAAGGATGTTTATACTTTTCCTCGAGGTAGGGATTGTTTGTANAGGATGTTTATACTTTTCCTCGAGGTAGGGATTATTTATACGGGACAAGTCAATGATACGCTCCCATTTACAATTATAGCACTAAATAGGTTATCTCCCTCAGAGTGGTGATTTATAGCCACCTTTGATAATCCTAGGTTATCTCCAGTTATCTCAAGGGGTATCATTCATGTCAATGGCTAGTTTTTCATTTAACTGATGTCTGTTTGGCACATTTCCAAAGAATTAAAAGAAAATAACTGAAAATATAAGTGCGTATAGTAGGTACTTGTACACACTATCCATTTGGGGAAGATTTAGCCAGTGAAAAAAATGAACTCAATATAGGATAATTGTGTGCAATATATTTTAAAGGATAATTAAGTTTAGATTTACAAGAAAACTTGAATAAATAAAGTTTATCCCAAAAATTAAAATTTCTTGACAAACAAAAGGCAAGTGAATTCATGAGGTACCGAGGGAGATACAAAGGTGTTAATATGATCCCTGTTACTAGGATTTATACGTTTACCAAAAACCCATTCTGTTTCAATATTTGTTCCTGAAAAGCTTTCTCCAAAGCATAGCATTTTGAAAATAATGTGACCTTTCTTCAATTTGACTTGCCTCAGGGACATAGCTGTGAATCTTGATGCTCTTTGTACAATACTGTAGAGTATACTATATGAAAATGGACTGCTACTGTCAGACCATAGTTCTCTCCAGGGAATTATTTTCTAAAGAAATCCCTTTGATAGTTCGCTCTTTTTCCTAAAAGAAGAGTGCAACAAAACCATGGGTTAGTAGGGTTCCAAGTAATGTTTTAAAAAATCTTTGCCTATCTTTTAGGTTTAAAAAACCTAATTGTTTTAATTTCCACTTTTTTTGAATTTGAATTTTTTCTTTTGAGGATTGCTTGTTTGAATCCCTGTTCCATTTTAAATTTGGAATATCCATCTTTTTTGGTTGATTAAAAAAAATATCTCTAGATGATAGTTATTAAACCTTTACCTACATAAGTTGTAAATATTTTCCCAGATGTTGTTTGTGGTTTAACTTTGTTTATAGTGGTTTCTGTCTTGTATATGACAAAATTTTAATTTTAATTTTAGTTGTTCAAACCTGTCAGTCTTTTCATTTATGGTTACTGGTCTGTGTTCTGCTTAGAAAGGCCTTTATAGTCCTAAGATTATAGGAACATTCTATTGTTTCTACAACATTTATGGTATTTTAATATTTAAATCTTTAATTCATCTGAAATTTGTATTTGTGCAAGGTATGAGGTAGAGTTTTGTTTTTCTTCAAATGGATAGTCAATTGTCCCAATACCATTTATTGAACCTATTTTTGTATTTTATTTGATCTTGCAGAAATGAAAGAAAAACCGAAAGTCGAAGGACCAGAGATACCAGCAATTCCAAATGTTCCTCAAGAGATTCACCCAGAAAATGATGTCTATAGTTACATTTGTTTTAACAATGCTCAATCATAACAGTTGTGCAACAAATACACATCTTATTACATGCAATTTTTCTCAAAATATTGTAGAAATATCTACAATATTCATTAATATTTTAATAGCGTGTTTTTTTTCCATGTGTAGACCACATCTGAAAGAGAGAACTAATGTGTTTTTTCAGGCTCTACCACATAAGACAATAACCTGCAGTGTGTGTGTGCGCATGTGTGTATGTATATGTTATCTGTATATTGGGGTGAGAATAGTGGTGGGAAGAGATAAAAATGGGAAAGGGGAGGGCTGAATAATTAATTTTCCCCTAATTAATTTTTTTATTAATTCTTAAGAGCAGAAAAATTAATGTTTGAACACTTGAAGTTTGGGTGAGTACATAGTTTTCTTGTAAACTTTGTTGAACTAATAATGTAATAACTTCAAAATTTTATTCAGGCTTTTAGTTGGCTTTTTAAGTTAATTTTAACAATTCTTATCATTCTGGGGCTCCAAAGATATTTTGGAGTGCTGAATATAGTCTACTTGTGTATTTGAGTTTTGATGTTCTATTTTTACTTTTTATATATTGTATTTGTACAAAATGTACATTAAATCATTATTGCATACTAACTGCGTGGAACACATCATGGCAAGCATTTTGAGGGTTAGACTTATAGCACATAGTCCTTGCCCACCAGGGGTCTAATCTAGTCTCATGGGGGACTAAAAGAGAAAACAAATAATCACATGCACAAAAGTAAATGCCGGTGTATCATTTGAACAGTAGATACAATAAAGGAAATGCTCACTTTTTGATGGAGTGACCTGAAAAATTACATGGAGTCTTGAAAGATAGAGATTTGTATTATAGGTGAAGATAACAGTATTATTAATGTATGTGACAGAGGAGTGAATTCAAGCTTTCAAGATGTTCAGTTAATGCAGGGTCCAGGTGGAACAGACCAGTAAGCTAAAAATCTTGTATTATTAGAGTGTACAGAATTTTGCATACTTAACTAAGAAGTATATCACTTATTTCTAGGGAATGGGGAACTAAGTAAGACTCTTGAACAATGAAGTGGCAGTTTTAGTATTTTAGGAATATCTATCGTGATAATGGTCAGGATTAACTGACACTGAGAAGAAACTGGGGGCAGGAGCAGGAACTATTCTGGGCCGAAAGAGGTCTGAAAGTTTGGTTCAGCAAGGGCATAATTGCATAAGCTTTCCATGTAGGGGTTGTGCTTGGCACTAGGCTACAGTGAAGGACAAGACACCCAGTCTCTCAAGCATTCAGGTGTGGAGCAGTGGTTTTCAACCTTCATGGTATATCAGACCACTGGGGAGGATTTCCAAATTACAGATGCTGAGACACCTCCCCGGGGCTTCTAGTCACCTACCTATGGTGCCATCCAGACATAGGTTTGTTTGTTTGTTTATTTATTTTTAAATATATCTTTATTGATTTCAGAGAGAGGAAAGGAGAGGGAGAGAGAGAGATAGAAACATTAATGATGAGAGAGTCATTGATCGGCTGCCTCCTGCGCACCCCCGACTGGGGATCGAGCCCGCAACCCGGGCATGTGCCCTGACCGGGAATGGAACCCAGATCGCACTGATCCTAGGTCAATGCTCAACCGCTGAGCCACGCCCAGCAGGGCAGTATATTTATTTTTTAATCACTTTTGCTTTAAATAACTTTTTGAGGAGTTTTAGAATTATAGAAAAGTAAAGATAGCACAGATGTTCCTGTATACCTTTCACCCAGTTTACCCTAATATTAACATCTTACATAACCATGGTCCATTTATCAAAACTTAAGACTGTTACATTACTAGTAAGTGAACTACAGATATTATTTGAATTTCCTTAGTTTTTCTACTAATGTCCTTTTTCTGCTTCAGGATCCAAGCTAGGATACAACATTGCATTTAGGGTATTTTATTTTTATTTTTTGTTAATCCTCCCATTGATTTTTTTAGAGGGTGGAAGGGAGGGGGAGAGAGGGAAACACTAATGTCGTTGGTTGCCTCCAGCATACCCCAACCAGGGCTGGGGATTGAGCTGGCAACTGAGGTATGTGTCCTTGGCCAGAATTGAACCCAGGACCCTTCAGTCTGCAGGCCAACACTAACCACTGAGCCAAACCAGCTAGGGCATGCCTACCCCCTTTACGCTACTCCCTATATACATGCAACCTCTGCTTTCTCACTCTTCTCATTCAAACACCAGTGAGCATGTAAATATTTTCTAGTTCTTTTCTTGGCCTAGAGCCTTGAGATCACAGTCAGAATTAAAGTTTTGTAACAATCTAGCCCTAGTTGGTGCTGCCCTCCTATCGTGGTAAGTACAATGGTGGTTCTTTAAAAATAAAATGTGTGAGAAGATCCAAAACTTCACTTGATTTCCATAGATCCTCCACCCAAATGAAAGACTAAGAGTCATTATAGTGAGAAGTGTTTCTCAAAGTATAGGCTGATAACCACCTGTATTAGAATCATTTAGGTTTTTTTTTTTAAAGGCAGATTCTTAGGTCCTACCTCCAGAGAAAGGGTTGTTTTACAAACTACAAATAATCATATATAACTCTAGACAGGATAATAAAAATCTCAAGTCATATATTAAAAGTACTACATATTTAAGTTCCTGTTTTCCATAAAGGGAAATTTTATCTTTTTGCTGTTGTTGTTGTTGAGAAATTTTAACTTTAAAAGAGGTAGCAATCTACTCCATCAGTGTCTCCAAGTCTGCTCTGCATTCCAGTACTTGTCACACTTGGTAATTAATGTATTTTTGTGTGTGACTGTCATTAGATACGATATCTAAGGCCAGGAAGGCAAATTAAAATACCTCTCATTTTCTACACCAGTCTGTCTTCAAATTAAGGAAGACTGTCCCTTTCCACATCACCACCATCTAGTGGCAAATACAGCTATTACCACCCCACCTTTTCAATGTGCATGTAGCTCAGGGATTCTCAAACGTTTCTTCAGCGACACAGAGCTGTTTCCAACTGGAAACAGAATAATAGCATTATTTTCCAAATTGTCATGTGGAGAAGACCTATCAGAGCACACATATAATGATCAAATTTTAAAGTGCCTTTTTTGGTAAACGTTCTCTTTAAACCCTTGGCTCTTTCTGCTTGTTCTTTTATACTAGTGCAGGTTTAGAAACAGCTTTTTTTAAAAATTTGTTTATGGTTGGTAAGCTTTTAAATCTGTGGACTCGGATGCTTTTGATTAATTTATGTTGCAGGCAATAGGTCTCCACCCCACCACCACACCATGTTGAACCAACAGGATAAAAAGTCCAGAAACAGAAATATGCACAGAGAAACTAAAAATAGATGAGAGATGTTACAAGTGGGTAAAAGGACAGGCTCTCCATGCAGGGATAACTGCTCATCNAATATGCACAGAGAAACTAAAAATGGATGAGAGATGTTACAAGTGGGTAAAAGGACAGGCTCTCCATGCAGGGATAACTGCTCATCGCATGGGATGAAAAAAGGATCCTCGTTGGCGCTCAGCTTTTCAGAGCTGCCCGGAAACGACCATAATCCCTTCAATGTCAATGACAGGTTGACTGTTTCATTCTCACTTTAGCTCCCTTAAGGTAGGGGGGGCACAAGAAACAGTTTCCACGTCTAAACCCCTAATCCGATATGGGGTTCCCCATCCGTTTTATTTGAAATAAGGTTTACTTGGGTCCTTTCTGACAAATCATTATGGAAAAATGGGAGCATACATACAAGTATAAATGTATCGGTATTCCCACCACCCAAGGAGAATTTTAAACATTTCCTAACATCCGATCATCTTGCTGCGTGGGGGCTGCACATACATATTCTTTTTCTTTAAAAACTGGCGTCATGGGTTGGATATGTAGGTTGCTTATTTCGAGACAGACATCTTTCAAATCATCGATGTG